CTCTATTTTTGTTTTTCTTGTTTGAATTTTTCATAAATTTTTTCTAGACTCAAGGAAATAAAAGATCACTATAATAAAATAATCAAGCATCAAAAGTATACTACACCTTCGCTTTAAGGGTGTTCTTTTCAGAAAACTCGATTTTCGTCAAAAAAATAATTTTTGATATAAACATATAAATATTTTGTCTGAATTGTCTACAATACATAAAATAGAACTGCAACTACATACTATACATTGTAGTGACTATTCAGCTCTTTAATTGTTATTTATCTGTAATAGGATCGAATGTTACCAGAAAATATATTAGCTAAGTCCTTTTTTTCTTATAAATCGTTAGATAATAAAGAGGAATACAAATTCCAGACGATTAACGTTTCTTTCACTTGTGCTTTGAAACCATAAAAACTCGAATTCAAGAAATACAAGTAAGGAAGACGACCGCAATTCCATAAAAACAAAGGAATTATACTACTAAATGTTTTTTTTATCGAATGTGAACAGCAAAAAAGAATTTTATAGTTTGATATAAGAAAATTTCTTGGTTTGAATCGGTAGATTCTATTAAGATCATTATAAACTTAAAGAAATGTCTTATATTCTCTCTTGACAATCTGTTTCAAACAACAAGTTTCTATAATTTTAACTTATTCTTTCTTTTTCTAAACATTTGTATTAACGCATGAATTATTAGCGACATCAACACCAATAACAACAATCGATTGTAGAAAAAAAGGAAAAAGGAGAACGATGAGAGAAATGTTTGACGATCATGACGAAATAGATTTTTTTTTTCCTATTACTGATCGTCTATTTCGAGTAGAAAAGGTAAGATTGACGTGCTTATTATCAACATTATAATTTTTTGTTTGCACTTATATGGCAAGATATTTCGTCGATTTTTTCAAGCAGCTGTTACTAACCTATACAAGATAAATATGGTCAAAGTCCATGTGGTTTATTGTGGTGGATGAGGTTATGGGAGCAACTTTCGGAAGTTCAGTGGTGAACTGAAGAAAGCTTGCTCCAACATAGATCTCGATATTGTAAGTTATGATTTATTTATTTATTTATTTTATATTAAATTTCATTAAAAAATAAATAAATTTTAGACCAGTGAAGCAACTCCTGAAGTCACTGGATTTTTCGAGGTTACCGTTGATGGAAAATTAGTTCATTCAAAAAAAGTAATTATACATTTTCGAATGAAATTTAATGAATTAATCAATTTTCTAGGATGGTGATGGATTTCCAGATACGAAAGATAAGATGGATAAGATCGTGAAAGCAGTCGAAGAAGCTAAATAATCAGATGAAACTAATTTATTAAATAAATATAAGAAGAGCAATGTTGGTATGTTAAATTTTGAAAATAAAAAGAAAAAAAATCATATATTAATTTTTTTCTTGTTTAGAATGTCATCTTGAGATGATTGATTCGAACTGTCGGCTACCAAAAATGATGTGTTGTGTGATCAAATTTACAAAGTCCTCAATACTGATTCAGTCAATTATGATAGTTACATTTCAATCATCTATACAATTTAACATTCACATTTGGGACTCTATTTTTGTTTTTCTTGTTTGAATTTTTCATAAATTTTTTCTAG